CAAAGGCTTTTCTCTCCCCCCCCCCCCCCCCCCCCGAATTTTAAATCAGGGATTCCAAAAGTGCCCTGCAAACTCCAAGTAACTGTAGGCACAAAAGCAAGGCTTCCTGCTGCATCTAATGATTCTTCCATTTCTGGACAAATAAGTAATTACCATATACCTCTGAACTGGTTGCAGATGAAGCATTTCATCATTTCCTACCCAGAGTAATAGCAGAATTTTTCACTCTGAGAGAAGCTGTTCTGGCCTTGTCTCCTTCCTTCCATTCAAACTCCATTGCAGGAAGATCATTCTCCTGCATGTCTGAACCCATCCTCTAGTCCCAACTTAAAAACACAACTGAAGTATGCACCTTCATAATTTGGTTCCTACCAATGAGGCAGCAGAGCCTTAATTTATTAATGACATTTATTTATTATTAATTAATTATTAAATATTTATTTATTTATAAATTATATAATATATTATATAAAGTATTATATTATTAAATATTATTTATTTATAATTTATTAATTACAATTAATTAATTGTAACTTAAACAGGAACATGCAGGAAATCTTTTGTGGGTAAGTTAGGTTCATTGTCATGAATGTTTAACTTTGATGAATCTAAGAATAAAGTGTCCATGTAAGTTAAATTTGGGAGAAAAAACACAACGAGAAAGTTCTCAAAAGCTTAGGAAACGTTTTATTATTAAAAGTAGCTAAAACTACTTTTTTTTAATATTGGCTATAGTAACAGAATCTTGCAAGTCTGACTGTACTATATTCTCCCTCCCCTTATACTCATGTGAATTAGGGAGGTGTCCACCTGAGTCGCTTGAGCATATCTTCTTGTTTTGAGCTTAAGCCATGTTTTTCATCTTGTCACCTTGGTAAGGGATCTGGCCTATCTCTGTCAAGGTCATCTTCCTTACTCTGTACAAATTCCCATTGGCTTCCTGCTTCCTGGCTCCTCAGCTCTACCCTTGCCTGCTGAAGTCAAGGGGCCATGATGCCTAGTCACCATTACACCATACTTTTGATTTTTGCCCGCCCTTGCTGTGAAAATAAACATGGGATCTGAAATACAAGATATAAGTTGCAGCTACTTAGATTTCATTTAAATGTAAGAAAAACTTCCCAACAGTAAGATCTGCACAAGTGGAACAGTCTATATAGAAGCTGTGTGAGTTCTCCATCTCTGGAGGTTTTTAAGGGGCTGGACAGCCAATTCTCATGGATGGATTAATTGCATTTCCTTCACCTTGCAGAGGGTTAGACTAGATGATCCTTGTGATCCCTTCCAACTCTACAATTCTATGAAGTAATGATGAGGTGGGCAGAGGAGACAGCAGATGCTGACCGGAAGTCAGTTTTCATGTCACCTCCTTGGAAGAGTGTCCATTTCAGAAGAATATTGAAGAACTGAGGACAGCAGTAATAAGGAGACTAACGGAACAACCTAAAGAAATCTTTTGAGGGCTGTTTGCAGGTCCCTGAGGAAGAATGAATTTTAAAAGAGTCAACTTTATTATTAGATTATTATTCCACCATTCCTTCAGGAGCTCCAGGGAGTGTGCATAGCACTGCCCCCCTTCCCCCCCCCAGAACAATAATCCTATGAGATAGATCGGGTTGAGAGACAGTCATTGGCCCCAAATTATCCAGTGAGCTTCTGGGGCTGTAGATGGATTTGGACCTGGGTCTCCCTACTCCTAGTTTTATCTGCTTCTCACTCTTGCGCGACTTAGGTGTTGAGAAATACTCTTCCAAATGCTTTTCTAGAATAGCAAGCACAGGTGCCAAACTTTACCATCCCTGCTAGCTCATTGACTGCAGCACGTGATGCTCTGACTCTTCCCCAAACCCAACTCAAGGATACCCACACAGACAGCTCATCTGACGTGTGCTCTGGACCTTGACGCTGTGTTTGTCTTTGGGAACAAGGGGCCACTTGTGAGGCAAGAGCTTAGACCCAGGCATGGCGTTCGTGGAAGTTCTGCTTCAGCCTGCACCTTCCACCACAGTTCTTGCCCCCTTCGGCAAAGAGAAGCAGCAGAACCGGGTTTACTGCTGAACGCGTAGATCCATCCACGGACACAAATAAGATTGCTGCCTTCCCTGGTGCAGAGACATAGGGCGGATCCTAAAAGCATCTAGATCCCTTTCTTTTCTTTTTTCTTTTAATAAGAACTTTAAGTTATAAAAAGCATACAGATAAAAGCAAACAAGAACTAATAATCAAAGAGAAAAGTAGAAAACAAGAGAGTTAGAGATAAAGAAGGAATACAAAAGTGATGAAAATTAAAGAAAAGGGAAAAAAGGGAAAATTACAAAAAGAATGACTTCTGACTTCTTATACAGCAGACATAGGTAAATCATATAGTGACTTCTTACTCTTAAACTACGTCTTAACATACAGTACATATTTTGTATAACCTATTATTTTAACGAAACATCAAATCCATAAATCATAATTTTATTTTTTTCTGTCTCCTGCAAAAAGTCCAAAAGGGGCTTCCAGTTGGCAATAAAGTTAATCAATGTTTTTTATCTAAGCAAAGCTGTCAATTTTGCCATCTCAGCTAACTCCATCAACTACACAATCCATTCTTCCATTGTAGGTAATGTCGAGTCTTTCCACCTTTGAGCATATAAAAGTCTAGCTGCAGTTATCATACATAAAAACAGAGGTCCATGAGCTTTTTCCAATTGTTTGTCCATCT